GCAAACATGACCAACTAGTTTAAGGGATAGTATTTCATTCTCCAAATGCCTTTTAAAGGTAGTAAATTACTCGGAAAATTTTCCGAGGCATCCATTTTCTCAAATGTAATTTTCAGACATCTTATTCCTAATATGTCTTACTTGTACCTTACTCGACGTAACCTGAAACAAAATTCCATGAAAGTGATGCCCAAAAGAAAAGAAAAAGTTACGCCTTTTTATTTCGATCGATTTGAACATTTTTTTCAAATATTTCAATGGTGTTTCAAAATGTTTTGTTTCTTTTCTACCAGTAAGAATAAGCATTAAATGACAGAAAGTCGAACGATTTTTTTTCTAAGCTTCAAGTTTAATTTAAATAGATATAAAAAGACGATAAATAAGGGAAAATGTTTTTATGAAAAATATTATAGCTTTATCCAGAAAGCCTTGCCGGAATAATAATAGTTATTCGTTATTTTGTTTATTAATATTTATTTTTACTAAAACTTTTATTTTTCATAGGCTTTCACACTTTTGCAAAATTCTAAATGTACACGTGACGATTAAAAATTATTTTTATTCTGTGAATTTTGTTTTTTTCTGGCATGCGTTATCAATGTGGCAACAATCTAATTATCACTTTTTCAAAAAATTGTTCGTTAATATTTGTTTAGTATAAAATTGAAACTTTTTCGTTAATGAATTCCTTTGTTATTTATTCATTAATTTATGTTTTGTTTTTTGCTTAATTACATAGAATTAATTAGCTTATATTTTTCCTAAATTACCTTGTGGAAAAATTAGTTGAAAACAGCGATAACTCGTAGTATTTGACAGCGTACTACGGCTCTTTATTCGCCACCTGGACACGAAGAGGTTGCTTTATATAAAAAAGAAACTACATAGTGAATTTAGATTTGAATATAAATCAAAATATGTAATATGGAAATATGAAATAGGGTTTTTGAAATTATTTTTACATATGACTATTAACTTTGGAAATTATTCCCTTAACAAACTATTATCATCCGCTTCGATTTAATAAATTATATAACAAAAACTTTTCTTACTGTTTATTTTATTTACTGGTATTTAATCATGTTTTGTTGCAAAAGAGGACAGTTAGCTGTAAGAAATCGATAGAAAAAGCTGTAACTTTTACAAACTGATTTAGATTTTAGATAGCAAAGTTTTTGTTTAATATTCTTACGTATAGATATGTTTTCTTGTTTGTTACGTCCTAGGTTTAATTAAAAAGTTTGTTCTACAGGGGTGATAAAAAATGTATTAACACTTTAAGACTGGGTACTATGTTAATGCTACAAGTCTGAGATCCCATTGGCTATAGGATTAAGTTGTAAGAGTTGGTATTAACAGTTGGCATTAATGTTTCGACGTGTTGAACGACAGATGGCGCTTGTATTTTAATAGTGAAAGTGAGACCATGACGCAAGTACATCTGGCATTCAAACCACTAAAAACCATTTTTTTGGAAGTTCAAGAATATCAACGAAGTGCAACGACATTGAAAGCACCTATATGAAACGGAACCACCAGCACACTAAAGCATTGCTCGCTTTCACGATCATTTTGCAACTGATGGAACAACAATGGGCATGCGTAAGAGACGATGAGACTAGTCCCGCTCATCTGCAATTGATGCATCTTCTGTTGGAGAGTTAGATTAATTCACTTGCTTGCGAGAAAAATCGACTTCACAATGTGCACGTGAAACAGACGTGAGTTACAGTTAGCGTATGTTGTATTTGGCACATTGCAAAATTGAAAGTTTACGTTTTAAAATTGTTACACACACTGAATGAGGATGACGCAGATCGAACTCAGTTTTGTGAATGGTACCTCGAACTAGGGATGACGATCAGAGATCGATTAATCGAAGAATTGATTTCTCGGAAAAAGATCGATTTTCTAAACCGATATGTAGCACTCAATCGATTCAGTGAATCGATATTTCATCCTAGAAAATAGGCATTCGATTTTTTCTGTTTTGGTAAAAATCACAAGATTATTTACAATTAATTGAATGCACTATCTTTAAAACCCGTTATATTACGGTGTTGGCGGTTAAAGGGTTAATTTACTGGCTAGAGCAAAAAAACTCTATTTATCTTCTCATTTACTCAATAGCCATGAATATCGTGGGATCATCTGTTCCTTGTGAGGGCTTTTTTTTCGATTGCTGGCAACATCGCAAGTGAGAAACGGAATCGCTTGGATCCCAGTAGACTTGATAGATTGTTGTTTTTATAAAGCTTAGATATTAAGCATTGGGAACTATAAGCTATATTATCTATCTTCTAAAATTTTTAATGTAACAAATACATTTAGAAAATAAATGTCTTCTTTTATACCTAATACTTTGATATGGTAATAAAAATAATTGTAATTGTCACGAAATCCCTGAACTAGGAAATTTCCTGATTTTACTGATAAGAGATCGTTTATTATGGTATCTTTCTTGTTTTTCGTGAAATGGATTTATATTTACATTGTAAATGCAGACTTGAAAAAAATCGATTTTTTAGAAATTGATGTTTTAGACCTCGATTTTTTTGTGAATCGATTCATCAGGTTACGATTCGAATCAATTTAAAAATCGATCTTTTTCGGAAAGAATTGCCATGCTTACCTCGCACAGGTTGATAAGTTTTGTTTCCAAAGTGATATGGTCTCTTTTACTTATGGAGTTATCACAAGAATGTGGTGTACGGCAAGAAACTGTACATATTAGAGCAACTGCGCTATGAAATTCTAACGACTAGTCACGCAATTCCTGCAGCTAATCGGAGAGATGTCACCAACATTGTCCGGCATTATGCTCAAAAATGTTTTGAGGCCGGTAAATTAATATTTTAATACTTATTGTAACTTTGCCATTTTCATTCACTGTAATATAATCATTTTTCTTCACTAAATCTTGTATGTATATCTTGCATGATTGTTTGTATCAGCCCTGTAATTCAAATTGATTGCTTGCACCACATTTCGAATACTGAACCATTAAAAAAAACACGTCAAATCGCTCATTGTTGCCTGCTTCAGTTTTAAGTCGCTGATATGTTGCAGTACATCTGAGCACTGCGCATTTCTTTATTTCGTGTGTTGTGGCTAAATACCTTTTATAAAACTTCTTTTAAAAAATTAAATGTAATTAATTTCATTTATGATTACATACTATACTTAAGTTTTTTAACAGTAATAAATATTTCATTAACTTTTGCTTAATAAGATCACATTAAAAAGAAAGAAAGAAGCATTTAAAAAAAACTTTAACCTCACGCTCTTTAATGTGAAAAAAAAGAGTTGCAATTGAAGGTAAAACTTATTTTAAATTAACTGCATTTTATTTCGAGCCATAAGTTAAACAAATATTTCAAAGAATTTTTAAGGTGATTAAAACACTAATGTACGTGAATATATTCGAGAACGAAAATATTATTGTAAAAAAATGAATCCATGAAATACTACTTTCAGAAAGAGACAGACAAGTGAAATGATAGGCTTAACATTAATCAGCATTATAAAATAATTACTTTCTAACTAATTATCTTTCCAATATGCATTTTTTTGTCTTCACGAAGCTAATCTTTTATAATCCGATTAAGACGATTCCTTCTAAAAGAAGTTCTAATTACCTTAAAAAGCCTTTTAATCATGCTCCAAATCCTATTAAAAGATTTGTTGTACTACTTTATCAAATTAGATAGCTTCTGCTAATGTAAAATTAGAATTTAAAACTAAGCTTATAATGAAACGACCCACTAGTATTTTACCTTCCAGAATCAAGACTCAAGAGTAGCTCAGATAATATTTATTAAATACATATATTGTTTAAGATTAAAAGTTTATTTCTTCATCAGCTAATACTTTCTATTTGAGGAGATTGGCTTGCTTATATGATTGCATTAAAATATTTGTATTAAATGTTTAATTCTGGAAATTTTCATTTCAAATAATGAAATCAAAACTTAGTGTGTCCACGAAACATTTCTAAAACTTGACCATGAAAGCCCAAGTGAAACAACCGTATTTCAATGTATAATTAACTTTGGTGTCTCCTATTGACGTAAAAATAAAATTTAAATAGAACATCTTGATATCTGAAGTAATATTTATTCAAATTATAACTCTTTCATTAAAATATAGAAACACATTTTTTTCAATAAAATGACTATATCTGTATAATAATACTTCTGTCTGTTTAAAATGAATAAAAAAATTGTTTCATTCCCTTCTCCTAATGGGATAATGCATGAAACAAAACTGTTTATTAAATCTGCGACTATTTTATATTGCCATATTTTAAACTACTTATCGCGTGTAGTGCGCTGAGATTCCGTTCCCATTGGAACCTACAGAGACGGTGGGATACACGATCGTGGGGACTTTTATCGTGCGATGCTTGTTATAACATGTACTTTGTGTACCTATCTACAAATTTTTACTATTAAAATACTTAATTTGTTCTCAAAATTTTTTCAACTCTTTAAATCTTAATAATTTGCTTTAACTACCATATTAATACGGAAATGTGCTCTGTGAAGATTTTATTTTATGTTAAATCTTTCACGGACCCTCTAACGTTGTCCACTTACTTCCAGATTAATTTTAATTTTTCAAGGACCCTTCATCAATCTCAAGAACCCCAAGGGTCCGTAGAAACCACTTTGGAAACTTGTAGTAGGCAGGAACTCGCCACATTAAAAAAACAAGTAATTTAAAAAGAAATAATAAGTCAATTCCTACTTAGGACAACAACGAAAAAATTATTCAGTTACTTTGTATTAAATAATAACTATTAATGTAAATATGTATATATATATATGGCAGAATCACACTATTATGTGGCAAAATAGAAAAAACAATATTTTCCATTTTCCTTTCTAAACAGGGTGCTGGAATATAATTTTTGTTTGTTACTATTTGTTCATGAATTAAATTTAATTTTTCCAATAAAATTGTTTAGTTAAAAGAAATCACATTCTCGAAAATAAAGCCATCCCAAATGGGATTCGAGCCCACGACCTTTGGTTTAGAAGTCCAATGCGCTACCCAATGCGCTACAGGGATTTGAGCGATTTTCCTTTTTATGTATGGTGTAGAACTACTATTTCTGTTTATTACTATTTATTCATTTTTTAATTTAATTAATGAATTTATGTATGAAAACACTGTACTATATCATCACGTGTTATCCACTACAAGTTAAAAAAATCTGAATTTGAGTGGATAAATAGAAAGTATTTTACAAACGATTGAAAATTCGAATAATGTATATACACTGCTCAAAATAATTAAAGGATATTGCGGTTTTAGGTGGATCTTGTGGCTGGGAAACTTTTTAGCTGATTGATACATGATCGACAGACGTAGTAGGTTATATGAGAATAAATTACACATGTTTGGCAGAAAAAAATGCATTTTATTGCACATTTGTGTACGAAAAGAAAAAAAACACAATTTGTGCATATGAGAAAAAATAAGAAGAAAATGTGTTTTCTTCTAAGGAAATCATATTCAGTAGGAGGTATGGTTTCCACGGACGGCCAGCAACGTTGAGCTCCTTTGAGGCATGGAGTCAATGATGCTATTAATCACGAGTTGGAGTATTCTGTCCCACTCTTCCAGAAGAGCTTTTTCCAGTTCTTGGAGAGTTTGTGGGGGTGGTTGGCGGCCAGTAACTCGTCTTACTAGAGCGTCCCAAACGTGCTCTATTGGATTCATGTCTGGAGAACAACCTGGACATTCCATTCGAACGATTCCTTCCTCGAAAAGGAAATCCTCCACCAGGTTAGCACGATGTGGCCTGCAGTTATCGCCTATTAAAATGAAGTCATCTCCGATTGCTGCAGAGTAAAAGGACTACAATAGGTCCGAGGATCTCATCCCTATATCGTCGAGCAGTCATAGATCCATCTCGAATGATGTAGAGGTCTGTGCGCCCGTTAATGGAGATGCCACCAAACACCAACACTCCCCCACCGCCAAATCTGACGCTTGCGTGCACGAACGCAGGATTATTCCTACTGCCACAGTCCCTCCAGATGAAAATACATCTATTATCCGGATAAAGAGAAAAACGAGACTCGTCAGAAAAAAGAACATTGCTCCATTAATTTCTCCTCCAGTTCACAAGCTCGGTTGCCCACTCCCTGCCGTCGCGACGATTCATCGATGTTAGTCTAACACATACCATCGGTCTGCGAGCATGCAGAACTACACCATGGAGCCGGTTTTGGACAGTCTGAGTTGAAACCGTGGTGCCAGTAGCCGGTCGAAGGAATTGTTGGAGAAGAGTAGCGTTCATATTTCGGTGTCTCCGAGCCGTTAACACTAAATAACGATCTTCATTGGGGGTTGTTGCCCGTCTACGACCTTGTCTTGGTCTTCGGCTGGCACTTCCAGTCTCCAAGAAACGGCTCCAGATCCTGGAAATCACACTTTGTGACACTCCAATGGCTTGTGCTATTTCGGCTTGAGTTTGGCCTCCTTCTAACCTACAAACAACTCTCCAAGCTTCTGAATTGGTTAAATGACTTAGCTGAGACATCATACTATCGAAACAAAGCAGTCAATGAATGCCGATCATCCTTTTCTTCATTTCAGTTGAAAGTCAAGTTTCATTCGCTGCCTCTGAAGCGACGTTTTTGACGTCGAACTCAAAATTAGCATACTCCACAGTTTGAAAATCAGAAAAATTTGCATTTGTGATTCTCTTCTTCCATTTTCGGCAAAAAAAATTCGCTTATATCTTTATTTTATATAAAACTTTAAAACTTACAATATCCTTTTATTGTTTTGAGCAGTATATATATATATATATATATAAATATTTCAGGCCCCAGACCTGCTGGTAAAATGAGAAGGGCATTATCTCTGTAATAACGTCTTTATTTGCTTCAACTTCAATCACATATAATCCAACATGGCGGCCCTTTGGCGCGCAACCGAGTAGAACAATAGGCATCAATTCGGCGAGTAGTGACCAGCTAAGCCTTTCCAAGTATGCGTTCTTCGTCAGCACTCGCTCCACCTATAAATAGGCTTATTTACCCACAAATCCTTACGCGATGGTAGATAGTTCGCTCTATTTGTATTTATTACTTACTTAATTTAGAAGCTAAACTTTTCAAATCTGACAACCCCCCCCCCTCCACTGAAGACTGGCACAGCCTGATTGGCCAATTCTGAGTGGCAAGTCCCCAGGGGATAAAAATAATATTTCAATGATATCAAATTCCCCAAATGAAATAAAAATCTAGAAGATATAATAATTGTGTAATAGAGTGAGCTGGTAAATCCTGACATGTAAAAAAATAGCAATATTGAATAACAAAATAACAAAAATTTGGTGTACATAGAATTGTTTTCTAAAAAGTATCACACATGTAATACTTTCATAATAATGAGGTTAAGAAAAAACAACATAAGATAAAGATAATTCACATTAGACATCCAAAAATATAGTAGTGTTAAACAACATAACGTAAGATCAAGTGAAATTCTGACTAATTGTGTATCAATAGTAAACAATGTTGATAAAGTGATAAATGTCGAAAACTTACAAGTACTTCAAAATGGTATTGAATGTTATAATAATGAGTAAATAAATACATAGAAAGAATAGATATAAAATAAGTAACAACAAAATGAATTTAGAAGCTCCTCCAAAAGAAAACATTCATAACTATAACATAGGAATTTCCCAAAATAAACACAACATCAACGTTACATCAAAATATCATTAGAAATATAAAATGCAAAGAAAAACTAAAAAGTGTATTTCAGATATATCAATTACAGGTAAAAGTTCAATCAATGTTCTTCCTTTTTTTTGTCACAATGTTTCACACAGTCCTTTTTTGGAAAAATCATTGATTAATGTTCATCATTCAATTATTGTTTATCTCACAGTTCTTTGTTTATGGTTATCATTTGAATCACTACTCAACCAATTTATTTCGAAAACACACAACCATAATAAAATCTTCAGAATATCACATAGTATTTTTTAACTTTCAAAATATACTTCTATCACAAGTAATCACAATGAAATTATTATAACATCATGTATATCATAAAATTGACCTCATCACCATGTTTTCATACAGTCCATAATTAAGTTATTTCTTTAAAAGTAGTCTTCAATAATGTGTTCATTATAAATAAAGGTACAATATAAATTCAATTACATTAAACTTTGATTTTCATAATGTAAAAAATTCTTAAATCCAAATTTTAAAACCAACTTTTATTATTTTTTTCTAAATAACAATGCACTTCTTCCCCCCATTGATTCAGAAAACACTCTATTACAAGTATAAATCAGAATTTAGCATAATTTGAAATTTTAACACGGAAATAAAATGTCAACAACTCTTGCCACATATAACTCAAGACTTTATTCTTTCAAACTCAATATTCCATCCCCTTATCTATTGCCATCGAAAGTTTCAGAACTTTCCATAATTAAAATTACAGTTAATTTTTATAAATAAAAGCACGCGTGAGCATTAATATAAAGCACGAGAGAGATAAAGAATTACCATTTGTTACATCCTCCCCCTCTGGTTTCAACGGCGTCTCGATGAGGAACCAGGAGTCTGTGGGACCTTTGTGGACGGCCACGTTTACGAAGAGGAATAAGGGGTTTTACTTTGTCATTATTGCAAAGAGTTAAAGCAGAGGTGTGGTAAACACCAAGAGGTTCCCCCGGATTATCAAGACTAGCAATCTCGTAAGATTATGGTGTCCTCTGTGTTAAAATCACGTAGGGACCGTCTCTGCGTGGCATTAGTTTTGCACTTCTTCCTTGCGCAGCGTTGCTCAGCGGATGTGATGCTACAAAGACATTTTCTCCAGGTTGATATGTTGGAGCAGCTTTTCTCTTTTTATCAGCGTAAAACTTCCTACTATCCTGTTGCTCTTCAACCACCTCTCTAATCTGAGTGGAAAACTTAGAGAATTTCTTGAGATAGGGAGTTATCTCTGGCACAAAATTATCATTCTGGATAACGACTCGAATATCATTAACAACTTCACTTGAAGTGCGTAACTCTCTCTCTCTACCAAAATTCAGAAAGGCTGCCGTCTGTCCGGTCGTTTCGCATTTGGCTGTGCTGAGAGCAAAGCGGATGAAGGGTAGCTTCTCTGACCAACAGTCATGCTTGTCTTCGACGAGAATTGCCCGCCGTGGTTTCAAATCCCTATTCTTTCGTTCCACTGGGATAGCTTTTGGATGGTATACAGGGATCAGGGATTGATTAATGTTTAATAGGTAGCATATTTGTTGCATCACTGCTGACACAAACTGGGTTCCATTGTCACTGATAAGGCGGCGAGGAATACCATACCTTAGTAGAACCTCTTCAATCAAGGTAATGGCACATTCTTTAGCTGTGGCATTGGGTAGTGCAAACAGTTCGACCCACTTGGTGGTACAATCCTCAATGATTAGGATCCATCTTTTACCATCTTTACTCTCAGGTAGGGGTCCGAAGAGATCAATGGCCAAGGTTTCAAAACGTTGGGCTGGCACAGGTGTCTGTAATAGCCCGGAAGGTTTCTGATTTGAAGCTTTGTATTTAATGCAGTCAGGACAGTTCTTTACAAGAGACATTCTGTATGGGGGTACACAGAGATATGATGACTATTTCCATTGTTAATGTGGCGCTCCAAGATATTTGTTGCTTCTCCCCCTGGTTCGAAGACATTTTGGAAGGATTCCAACAGGAGGTTAAGTTTCTCCTTCTGTGCACACACACAGAGATCAAACTTTCACCTTCCCCTTCTCTTAATTGGCAGGTGTTACTGGACATCTTCTCAACTATGGACGAGGTGTCCAATTATTCACCAAAGGGATACTTGTAGGTAGGATTGTCCCAGAAGTACCAACAAGTATTCTTCACATCTAGAGCCAAACCAGCAGAACTAAAGAAATCTGTTCCTAGAAGTGTTCTATTTCCCTTTGCCTTTGGGAGAATTATGAATTTGGTCAAGACTGATCTCCCCTCAATTTCTACCATTACTTGGGTTGTGAGGGCCTCACCTGTGGTCTGTTGACCATCTGC